TTAAGTCCTGTGGACTTCAACTCCCAGAATCCCCCAGCTGGGGGATTCTGGGAGTTGAAGTCCACAGGACTTAAAGTCACCAAGGTTGAGAAACACTGGCTTAGAATGATTGTCTCATGTTTAAGACTATTCTACTCAACTTTACAGTGAAGCTTTTCGCAAACTAGTGAACCCATAGTTGTAGTTCTTTCTTTAAAAAGTTCTAATTATTAAAGATGTAAAATTCCTAATTATTGATAGTAATTCTTTCATCGTGCTTTTCCTATAAAAAGAGTTTTAAGACGTTATAAATCTTAAGCCTGAACATGATATAGAACTTTCTTTACACTATATTTTCAGGCTGCTACATTATTGAAAAGAAGGATGTGTAAAACTTCCTGTATTTTATGTCACAAATTCCTTTAAGCTACCAATCACCAAAGACAATTATAGGTGGTAGTATTCTAAAGATAAGCTGTAATGCTATAGTGAGGTTTCTGATATTAAGTATTATGCTTTCTATATATCATTATGAGAAGCATGTGAAAATTCTTGAACTCAGAAATTATCTGTGTTTCCCTGAAAATAAGACTGGGTTGTATTTTCTTTTGGGCACCAAAGTAAGTACTGGGGCTTATTTTTGGAGGGTGTTTATTTTTCCCCATGTATGGGAGGCCCACCTCTGCTTGTTCACGGTGGGGCAGGTGGCTGCGCAGCATACCAGTGCTGCTGGCCATGAGATAGGGAGGCTGGAACTGCCCCACACACCACACACTGGCTTACCTCAGGGCCCCCAGCAGCCAAGCCACCCATATCCTGATATCCGCCTCACCTCACGGCAGTGGCTACAGCAGCCCCATCTAGCAGGGCCCCTTCGTGGCCGCCAGCCCATTTCTTCTGCTTGCTCACAACTGCAACGGAGGAGGCTGGTGCCGCAGCCTTGAGGCGAGATGGGAGGGTGGAGCTGACCCACGCACTCTGCACTGGCTTACCTTACACCCCAAGACCTGCCTCACAGTTGCAGTACCAATACACCATTCAGCCTCCTGCTCTGTTGTGGCCACAAGCAAGCAGAAGTAGTAGGCCGGCGGCGATCCTGCTGATGCTTGTTGGTGCTGCTGCCGCAAGGCAGGTGTCAGACGCGGATGGCCTGGCTGCGGGGGTCCTGAGGTAAGCCGGTGTGGGGAGCATGGGGCAGCTCCACCCCCCCCCCCACCTGATCTCGTGGCCGCGACACCACAACCAACCAGACGAAATGGATGGGTGGCCGGCTGCAAAGGCTGGTTTTTTTTATTTATTTTTTATTTTTAGACAAACGAAACATAAAACCATCTTCCATTACATACAGTGTATCGATTGGTTACAAGGTTTTTGTGCATCCTTTCCATAGTCATCACTTGCAATTTATATAAATCACATATCAAATCGAATAGGTTTATACATTATTATCATTATACCTCATTTGTTTGACTATCACTATTATTCCTTCATTTTAAACAATACATACTAAATATTGGGTTCATTTATATTATAACAATTCATTACATCATCTTCAATCTATCCAATTATAACATATCTTTATGTTATATTCAGTATCATTCTATTATTCTTGTATTGATAACATTCTCTAGTATCTTTCATTTCCATGTTTTTTTATCTAACCATTGATAAAATAAATCCGTCTTATAAAATTGTTTATCACTTTGTTCCCTAATTTCAAATGTCAATTTACTCATTTCAGCACTGGCTGTTAAGTAGGGCTTCTTTTGGGGGTAGGGCTTATATTAGGCACAGGTGTAAAAACATGCTAGGGTTTTTTTCAGGAAAACGGGGTATTTATACTGTATTTCTGTTAATTTCAAAATACACCAAAGTATTTCTAAATGCTTCTATTGCACTGAATCAGAATCAATGTAACCTGCCAACATATTTTAATAGCAATTTTATTAAAAATTACAATTACAGCAATAAAAACTAATACAAACTAAAAGAGGAAAAAGTAGAAGAAATAAGAATATAGTTAAGAAAAAGAACAATTCAAGAAAACCAATAAAAATATTAGAATTTTAAACGTAAGAAATAGAAATTACATTTACTGCTTTAAATTTCTTTAAATTACAGATTTTCCCAGTACCTTTTCAACATTTTAAATTAAAATCTTGTTTGTATTATAAATCATACTTACCTTGAAAACGAGTATATCCTAAAGTTTCTCCCCGGAAACTCTTATAATATTTAACTCCATAAACTATAATTGGTCTTCTAAGAATATGTGCAAGTACAAAAATGTGTGTCTGTTCCAAACTTGCGCCAGGCTGTTTCAAAAATAATATTTTAAAATGAAAGTTATTATGTGAGATAAAACAATAACACTGACTTTTCATTTTAGTACAATACAATAATACCACTTACCACAATTTATTTGAATCCAACAGACAAAAATAGAGACTCAAGTTATTTCTGAAATAACGAAGTCTGTTAAATTAAGCTTTATTGATGTTTCTGGGTAAGCTCTTTAAAAATGGGGAATGGAGCTGGTGAGAAGATTGGTGGCAGAAATAGGCCAGTGGGAGCTGCCCCATTGAGACATTGGTGGCACTGGGAAGATTGGAGGCTCCTCCTTCCATGTGCAGTGGGATAGGGCCATTTAGACAGGGATTTCTGGAAGTCCTCGGTCTTTCTTGCTCCTTTGCAACCAGAGGTTTATTCCTCCTGGCTATTTCCATAACAAGTGAAGGGAGTAGTGGACAAGATGGAGGCTATAACATTGAATCTTGCCATCTTTAATCAACCAGAAGGCCCTATGCATATTTTTACACATATGCAAAGCGGTAGATAGATGTGCATATATTTTACAGATATGCAAAATATATTTTGGATTTAACATTTAACAGTAATTTCAGGACATCTTTCCTACTGAATGATCTGTTAAATTGAGGTTTTACTGTAACTGAAATGTTTCTAGGAAACCATCTTTTTAAATACTGCTTACCAAAATATTTTCACTGTATTCTTAAAGCATAAATATAATATGGTAAATCATTTAATGAGGCATAAATTACACGAGAAAAACCAGGGCCTAGTGAAGCCATTAGTTTGTCTTAATAATGTTATCCAGTTTTAATTACATATATGCCTCTTGTAAGGCTTCCAATTACAGTAACCTAGTGAAGACAGGCATAGCTACAAAAGAAAAGAGAATAAGAGAACATATACAAAAGGATATCAGGTTTTTTTCCTTAAGTCAATAGACTACATGCAAAATTACTGTGTATTACCGGATACAGTGACTAGAGGATCAATTTTAATGTTATGGTTAAATTTGATTTAGCACACTTTAAAACCTTAAAGTATTACTGTCGGATATTACAGTGAAGCAATGTGAATTCTTATCATCAAACATTTATTCATGTTACATTTTGTAGGCTTACTCTCTGTGTACAAACTTATATTTAATTACAGTTAAGCATATGGTGCTCAGTATTAGCTTCTGGGTTGTGCACATTGTTCATTAAAAAATGGAAATTTTTGTTGTCAGCCTAATATTCCAGCTTTGGGAGAATATATTCTAATCATAGTAATAATTGTTACAACATCATTAATGCCTGGATGTAGACAAACTGGAAATATTACAAGGTGCCCTACATCATCCAAGTCATCAGTGACAAATCAAATCATCCATTAAGCTAAAACTTGTGGCATCATCTCTCTATATAAAAGTAGCCCTTGATCAGTGACTATTCAAAGTTATGATGGTGATAAATGAATGGTGGTTACATTTCCTTGGAGTTCCAGTCATCCCAGCACTTTTGCCGTCACATGATTGTGGCGAGTGAGATGGAAACCAGTTTGCACTTACAACCAGTTGCAGCCTCTATCATCACGAGATCACCATTTGCAATCTTCCCTGCTGGCTTCCTCAAAAGCTAATGAGGAAGGGGCCAGGAAAGGTCACAGGTCACTGGGGTAAGTCTCCTAGAGCAGTGTTTCTCAACCTTGGCCACTTGAAGATGTCTGGACTTCAACTCCCAGAATTCCCCAGCCAGCGAATGCTGGCTGGGGAATTCT